ATGCGGTGCATTGTGGAAAGATCTAAATATGACTGAGTAATGTATTTCTGAGCTCTTACGAAACTGAAATAATCAATTATTAGGTTTAAAGAGATCAACTAATAAGCAGGTCATGGCACAATGAGGGCAGCGTAAAAATAGTCAACTATATACAGAAGCGGGACTTGGCTCTGCGAACTGCAACTACAAAATCTGAGTTTTAAAAAATTCGATGCCAGGAGAGCAAAAGAGATACAAGTGAAGAAACCATTCGTCCAGGAAACACTGAAAGCGCCATGAAACTGATGATGGAATATGAGGACTGGTTGAAAGTTAAATCAAATGATTTTCCTACATAAAAAAAATAGTTTTGTTTCTCTTCTCACTTCTTTTCTTTAATAACTCGTGACTTCACTCTCCATCCACAAATCTCTAGAACTCGTCTACAAACAGATGGGCAGGTTAGTCCTTCACAATAGGAAAGTAAGTAGGACTTACCGTTCGCAGGAACTGAATCTCCTCCTCTCCCTCTCCCCCTTCTGCCATCTTTCACCGAGGGTTATTCGCAGCTCCTCAGGAGAAAACAGAAAACCCTTCAGTTTTCTCCCGTCAGGATTTGGCTTTGCTATGTCCCTCCCTCTTTTAGTTTCCTCGTTCCTGTACCCCTCTTTCTCTTTCGCACTCTGCCTCAGTGTCTCTCACTCTCCGTGCTAGTGTGTGTGGGTGTACTGGAGGACAGCATGCGTCCTGTGCTCTCACGGTGTTGTGAGAGAGTGACAAGGAGGCAAGGCTCTCCCCGGCTTCTCTCTCCTCTTTGGATCGTATCCCCAACAGCAGATGAGAGTAGGAGGGATGGAGGGTGGATGAGGGAGGGGCAGGCACCTTGTTACACATTTACACCGTTCACATCCAGCCGTGGCGCCATGTTTGTAGAAGTGGGCCACTCCTTCACACAGGCTGCCCCCCTCCATCACCCTCCCCTTCTTCCACATGTCTGAGGCTATAAAAGGAAAGAGGGGTGAGGACTAGCCTTTGGGGAGCGTGCAATAAGAGCACACAAAAGCACACCTCAGCTCTTCAAAGTGAGTAAGTTACTGTAGCTGTACTGGAGCACTGTAACAAAAACATAATTTCCCCCAGGGATCAATAAAGTATTCTGATTCTGATAGCTGCTCTTCACAAGAAAACCATTTGGGATAAATAGTGTATCAGTATATTAACATCATACTAGATCTTCTGGGCCCAACATGAGCTATTTGGAAATTCAGATATCTGCATCACTTGACGAGCAGGTTGCATTAGTTCTTTGTTTTATGTTTGAAGTATTGCAAGTCACACTTACAAGAAATTTACTATATTAATTACCATAAATGGCTCATTATTCACTTTAGTGCTGATTGATCTTTTAATCAAAATGAACTTATATACAACAATAGCTAAGTTAGACACCAAACATCTTTAGTCATAAAGCTCATCTGTGTGTTTTGATCAGAATTTGCAATTTGGAAGCTACTTTCGGCTGTTCCTTTATTGGTAAATGGCCTGTATTTGTATAGCTTTACTAGTCCCTAAGGACCCCAAAGCGCTTTACACATCCAGTCATCCACCCATTCACACACTGGTGATGGCAAGCTAGCCACCCTGGGGCGCACTGACAGAGGCGAGGCTGCCGGACACTGGCGCCACCGGGCCCTCTGACCACCACCAGTCGGTGGTTGCCCAAGGACACAACGACCGAGACTGTCTAAGCCAGGGCTCGAACCGGCAACCTCCCGATTACAAGGCGACCTCCCAACCCTTGAGCCACGATCGCCCCATTAGGGCGATCCCCCCAAGAGCCACAATTGTAGCACTGCATGTTTGATCTGGCAGATATTTATGCCAGATGATCTTCCTGACACAACCCTAAAGGACTTTGTAGCTCTACTCAAAATATTTAACTTGTTAGACAAATAACTAAACCACTATGGTTCATAACTTTCCCAACACAGTCCAACTTTGACTATACAAAAAAAAACTCTGACAAGACGCAATGTTTTCATTTCATTTTTAAAAACGTGGCCTTGAAATGAAATGGCAGAAAACATAATAAATACTTCATAGCCCACATTTATGCTGAGAAGTTGTGTCATCACATCGCTTGTGTTCTTTAAACAATAGTTGAAGAGAGAAAACTGATCTGTTACAAAGAACTGGTTTAGATTCTTGCCTGACATGCAGGTGTTGTTGAGTGACTCGTTGTTGATCCAGGATTATTTTCACCACTATACTACAGGAATTGTATATTATATAACTCTCATCCTTGTAAGTAAGTAATCAAGTAATCTGTTGGATCAAAGTACAGCTCAACTTACAGCTTGGCACTTTCAGTGTGGTGGACACCACTGAAGCTGTCTTACAGCCCAATCGATAACTGAACGAGACACTCTGCACAGATATTTTGTCTGGCTTTTAATTAGCTCTTTGATCTTTTACACTCTTCCATAAAATTACAGTTTTATGCTTCAGTGGTAAAGTAGCAACCTTCCTACTTCCCCTAAGAATAGTGATTCATTACCAGCCCATTATTTTGAGTTTCCCTGTCACTTATCTGAAGCAATACCTCTATCAACAGCCTCTAGATGGTTTTAGTGCTGCCTGGGTTTAACATTTAAGAGATGAACTCAGCAGTGACTGGGGAAGAATCCAGCAGGTAAAATCATAATGAAATTGACTCAGTGATGAACAACACATTCATTTCCACCGTAAATTAATCTATTATTCATTTACTCCGTAAAACAATTGGCAACGTTGGTCGTGAAATATAAGGATTTGTTGCTTTTTATGTTTAATATCACTTCATTATCATTGGGTCCTGAACTGTTGACTGATCAGACTGGTTGAATTTAACAATCAGTGGGAACAGTACTATAGGTGTAAGGACAATTGATATTTTTTATTTGTTTTAATTTTTATATCTTATTTCAGGGATCTTATAATTCATTGAAAAGCAAAGAAATAGCAGTTTAGCTTGGAAAAAAATGCATTGCATCTAGACACAATGTTGTCAGCTGGCTCTACTGTGAATCAACTATGTAGGCCTCCCAAAAATATTTTTTGCATGACACAAGCTTTCCCCTTGAAAAGCCATCTTTTCAGAAAATCAACAGTTGCTTTTGATTGAAACAGTGGATCTGCAGGAGCGTCCGTGTCACACCCCTCCTGACAGGCAGAAGGGATGCACCAGACAATAAATCTGGAAGTCTGAGTGCTGGGGGGGGAGAAAAGCACATCACACTCTCACAGCAACGGTGACCAGCCTTCAGACACTGTGCTCATGCACACATCCCTACCTCCCCTGTCTCCATCTGGCATCCTTGAGCATGCTTTCTTTCTCATCCATCTCCCACTGCAACCGCAGCTGGCAGCGGAAAAGCTGTTTCAGGACGCTGCTCGCCGGGACACAACTCCTTTCAGCGGATAACGGAGAGCAGGAGGAAAAGAGGCGGTGAAGAAGGCGATACGCCACTGAGGCGGAACTAACATGAATTCTGGGAATATGAGTCTCGATTCAGAAGTAACCTGCTGACTCCCGTTTTCTGCCAACTCACGAATCGTGCTGGCTTTATGTGCAGTTGCTGCAGTACGCCTGAAGGAGGCAGTATAATACAGAGAACTGATGGGAAAAGGCTTTACAGGTGTCTCTCAAGCTAAATAATTAATTAACGATATATATTAGGGGTCATGACAGGATTACAGTCAAAATAAGATAGGTGTTGTTTAAAGGAATTGATTAATTAACTCAGATGGAGTTATTTTACTGTTTTATTGAAACCTGGTTCAAGTAAAGGGAGGAATCCCCTGCAAACATGTGATGTAATGAAACTTTCAGCTCTTCCACGTAACAGGACGGCTGCTCCGTAGACTGTAAGCATCACGTTTGGTGGTTTTGCTGCGAATTTTCAAAATATGTACTCTGCATACATAATAGATAAAAAAAAAAACATATAGAAATATACGCAGTGGTTACGACAAAAGTCTTATGGGGGCTTTAAAACTCAGGTAACGCTGCAGGTAACGTGGGCGTGCCAGCGTGTTGAGTTATAGTAAAATGGCACTAGCTGTTATTTTGTCCAATGTTCTTCACCAGCTGAGTGGCGCTTCCTGTTTTAAAGAAGCATTGCTTAAGATTACAGTAAGTTTACCACATTGTCCGGAAATGGCGTGTTGTGTCTTTCTGCAACATGTGCATGTACGCCCCTGGAGATCTTCAATAATCTAACTTCTCAGCGAAATCCAAGTGCATGTTAGGTGTTTTTGACTTGGCATGCAAGGTCTGCGGGAGCCCTGTGCATCTCTCTTTGCTTTTGAATGCCGTGTCGCCCACTCACTGTCTCTGCCAGCCACTCAGCTTCCTGCAGCAAAGAAGCCACCTCTGCAGACTTGGGGACATTAATGTCCCCTGTTTGGTTGCCTCTTCCTCTTGGGGTGTTAAAACAAGGATTCCTTTGAGCCTCCCTGTCCAGCTGCACAGCGACATTCACAAGCCCAAACACTACCTCCCTGTGTAATCACTTGCTACCCTGAGAAATGACAGCGGCAGTTTAAAAAAAAGAAGAAAAGGAGAAATCAGGAAGATAGACGTGATGTGGGGCACCCTGGAGATCCAGTGGGGAGACACGTGTCCGGTTTCAACAGTGTCACCAGGCCCTTGATGATTCCTCCTTAGTAACTTAATTCTTTTGCCAGGATTTGACAGTGACACAGAAAACTGTATCAGAAAGAGGCTTTAAGGTGTGGCCTATTTTTTTTTCCTGTGTTGACACTTAAAAAGAACCCGAGAGTTCCCCTCTTGAAGTACACTGATGCTCATATGATTGCTCATCACTATCTCTCTCTAACTCTCCTCCTCCTTCCTCTATTGGTACTCCATTTGTGTTCACAATTCTAACTCTCTCTCTCTCACTCGCTCTCCCCTCCCCCTTGCACACGGCCACACACACACACAAACACACACAAACACACACAGAAACTGATGTGAGTTCCCCTATCTATCAGAGCCAGTTCCTCCATTTAAGATGCTGACTTGTTTATGTTGAGGGGACGAGTGAATGACTGTTGCGAGGTTTTGCACTCTACTCCGAGGCTTCTTTGGGGCATTTTGTCTTGGCATGTCTGCTTTGTTGCAGGAAACGGAGGCATGAGGTCTGCTTTGTTACTGATTTGTGGTTGACAGATAAAGCGAGAAGGAGGTTAACTCACTCATAGAGTCGTTTGATAAGCAGGACTTAGGCGCGGAGTTTAGTCGATGAGTGTAGGTGAGCAGCCTTCGACCTCGAGCAGCCCTCCCTGCTGTGCCTGCTCTTGCTGTCCAGTGCACAGTAACACATAGAGGACACAGAGGAGATAAAGGAGGAGCAAGGCCAACCATGGAGCTGTAGAGACGTGCTCAAATGCCTGTACGGATCACCAGTGGAGGAGGAGTGTTGCTGAGGAGAAGAACTCTGCAATGAACAAGAACAAAAGGTAATTAAATAAGAAAAAAGAGACAGGGCGTTAAACCTGAGAGTTCGCTGCTCGCAGAACCATTTGCACCTCAGTTTCTTAACAAGTGTAAGTCTAAGTATGTGTCAGCAGCAAGTGTTTTGAGTGCAGCAGTGATGTGTGAACATTGAGGTTGTAACTGAGATGTGGTGTGGTTTGTGCAAAGGTTCTTGACAAAGTCAAAGAGAAACAAGGACATTTATTTCTGCATCTAGTGTATGCCTCTTCTGCCATTTATTGTCATATTCAACACTGTGCACATGGAGGCTTTGGGTTAAAATAAAGGCTGCAGTTAATGTTTTGACCTGCATATCAGTGAAGACTATCAACTTCTCAAATTATTTGTGTGTACTGCACACAAGTGAGAGCCAACATTCAACAGTTGTGCGTGCCTGTGGAGAGCTGCCTGCTTGCCTTTCCATGGAAATGCGTTCTGCTTTTCTGTTCTGTCCAGTAATCTCCTTTTTCACGTCAGTGCAGTGACGTTTTTTGCATTCGATTTTAGATACAGCAGAGAACCTATATGTTTGTGTTTTCAGAGGCATTTTTTACTGCTGCAGTTGTGACCACAGATCTTATCAGATTACTTGGAATGAAAGGGTTGTATGTTAAATGTTGAGGTAGTCAAATGTGAGTTTTGTCCAATTAGTTACCTGAGTTTGAGGGTATGGAGTTTCCCCTTCAGTGGCAAGACTGTCTAGAACTATCACATAAGGTCAGCATTGTATTTTTATCAGTTATGCATATGAGTTTAACAATATGTAAGACAATAAATAACACATTCCTGAAATGTAGAAATCTTTGTAAAATCTCTAAAAAAAAAAAAACCCTAAAGAGAAGCATGGAACAAACTCAACGTGGAACTAAATTGTAATAGTGGAAAATTAGGGAAGTAAGTCACATTAGAATTATTGTTATAGGTTAAACATACATGTGTGTATACCAGAGAGAGAATTTCCAAAAATTGGAGAGAACAGAGTGTAGTGCTTAGTTGAACAGGTACAGTACTGAGTAAAAGTCTTGAGCCACTCCTCATTTCTTGATAGTTTGCTTCCAAGCAGCCAGACTTTCTTGTAATTGTAAAGTGCTCTTGAACAGCGTCCTAAGGGTCTTTCAGTGTTTGGGGTTTTTTGGGGGGATATTGGCTCTCTTTTACCTGAACATTTTCAGGGGACTATTTTGTTCCGTTTTTTGTTATTGTTATTTCTTCATTAAGCCACTTAACACCAACCTATGAATCATTCAAGTATGAAAAAGGCACATAACCTAAGGAATGAATCCATTTTAATTTGTATATTTAGGCATTTTGCTATTAGCAGTCTGTCACCAAAAAAAACACATCATTTATTCCTGTTTCTTTAGTTGAACTTTGACACACATAATATAGTATTTGTGCTTGATTCCCAAAGACCTAGTTAAAAATGGCATGGATTGCAATGCGTGCTTAGAAATTATGGTAAATGAAGGGCAAAAGACAAAGTACCAGGACTAGCAAACTATCTATAGCAGATAAACATTATCTAAATGTCAAGTCTGTAAGAAATAGGAAGAAGAATTTCAAAGATGTGATACAGGCATGAGAAACACATCTGACCCTTCAGTCGATCAAGCTACTATCTGCTAAAGGTTCACCAGAAATGGTCTCAGTGGAGGATTGCCCTCAGTATTCACAGAGAAGGTCAGGAGAGAGGTACAACAGTCAGTGTCTATAGCCATCTGTAAAACACAGTGGCAGCTCTGTCATGGTGTGATGCTGCCTTTCTGGTAGTGTTGTTGGAGGTCTTGCCATTAATTACTTTTGAATACACAAAGGTACTATCAGATTTTGATTGAGCATCCAAAGCATCTGAATATCCGGTTTTTCATTTTTCAATGTGACAATGATCCCAAACACACTGCCAATTCATTAAAAACATACCTGGATTGAAAGCACATAACAGAACACTATAGGTCATGGATTGGCCTCCCCAGAGCCCAGAGCTCAACATTATTGAGGGAGCACTGGAGGATCTTGACAGAGAACAGAACAAAAGGCAGCCAGCATCTAAAAATGAACTTTGAATGTTCTTGAAGAGGCAGCGTGACCTATTCCTGAGGACTATTTAAAGAAATTACAAAAAAGCTTGACTACTCATTATAATTGAAAAAAACAGTGTTTCTATACTGTATCTCGATGCACACTTGAATGTTCTAATGAATGGCTGCCCCTAGCTCCCATTTTCCTAGCAAAATATAAAGAATTTGGGGATTTCTCAAGACTTTTGCACAGGACTATATGATTGCACTATATACAGTACTAAGGAGGGGAGGGGTCAATAGCTCCTTGCAGAAGATGCATCCTCTTGATGCAGAGGGAAACAAGAATATGGGTTGGGAGAGGGGAGAGCAGGGGAAAAGAGCAGTACACAAACAAGGCCTTCAAAGGGCCTGGGCTTCAATTAATCAATTAAGGAAAGAAAGAGAGGAATTTGCATATCCCCCCGCCAGTGTGAGAGCAGGAGCAAGGGAAGGGGGTTACTGGATCTTTAGCCAGGAGTCTCAACACAGATGGGAAAGAGAGTGAGGGGGATTTCCAGAGAGAAAAGGAGAAGCTGTTTCCTGAATGGAATGAATAGAACAAGGATGAAGGAAGAGGAAAAAAGTGAGCAAAGTAGGAGTTAGTGAGGAAAATGAGGAATGGAAGGTCTTCCTGAAAAAAGAGTGAGTGATGCAATGGAGCAGGATCCAAATGAATAAGTATGTCATGTCATGTCATGCGCACAAGGATTTTCTTTTCAACACAAAGGTTGTTCCTATAGATGACATGCTAAATAAAGGGAGTGCTTTTCAAGTTGCCCTATGCTTTGGAAAAAGTCAATGCAAATTCCCAAACAGTAACTGTGTTCTAATTTGCATCCATATCCACTACACTCTATTTTCAAATGGCTCTCTGTCATTGAAGGTGGTCAGTGTCACTACACAGAAAACATACCTTTGACTGATGTTTTGTGTGTTACCTACTCAGCACTCGGGGGAAATTCCCTGAATAACGTTATGACATCAACAACATTTCCCCGTCAGCATTTCTGTTTGTAGTTGCCGTGTCTCACGTATGTGCAAGTGCTTTGACAGCAGGTGAATTCACTGAGAAAGGTGATATGTTGCAAAGGACATTGAGATTAGAAAACCACTCAGTTTTGTTTTTAAATGTACAAAATTAGTGTACAAACACGTAAAAGAAATAACGGACTTGGAAACACTTGAGAACATAGAATAGATATTCTCATAATTTATTGAGACTGTTAACGAATTAGGTGATTATTGGTTCATTTTCAATCTGGATCAGGTAATATCTTTAAGTCAGTGTTATCTGCATAGTCAAAATCCCAAATTGCATTGTTTTTTTAATCGATGGACTTCACAGTCTCTACAGAATGTAACAGCTTAACTTAAAGCAAAGACTTTACCCAGCATGAGATTTAAGTTTCACAGTACACTTTTGCAAAAACCTAAAAGGCAGCTAAGTATAGATAAAATGACAGAGGCATCTTGATTTCACAAGATTTCCTCTCCTTAAAATATATTTGTTGAAAATGTTGCATGCTGTGCTGTTAATGTTAGTGTTTTGAATTCAGTAGCCAGACTGTGTAATGAGGCAGAGGGGAGGAGCACAAGAGGCAGATCTTTGTTGCCCAGCAGGTTTCCAAACCAGTCACCTGGAGCCTGAGTACGAGGAAGAAGAGTGATGGAGTCTGGTTCATCACTGACATCCCCCTAATGTTTTGAGTCTAGATGTCTCTGAGAGTGAAATATGTTGCGTGATGACTAGATGGAACAGCACGTACAGGCAGCTTGTGGTATAAATAGATAAGTGAATGTCACCACATGTTCCTGTGTATCTATAAGTGTTCTGCCATTTTATATGTTTTTGAGTGTCTGGACAGTGGGTGCAGGTGTATGTTTAGTAATGCATAAACTATATGAGAATGTACCAATGTGGTGAGTGGGTTGGGGAAATAAGCTGAGTGCTTAGGTTAAAAGAAGGGGATGTAGGTCTGGTCATTCAGGGAACTTGTCACCAGTTCTCTGAACTCACAGTTGTTTCCTGGCAATTTCATCACATTATCTGCAGTATAGACTGACAGTTTCATATTGGTTACATACTACTCAGTGTTTGCTCAGATGCACGAATACAAAATGTCTTAAGTGCAACACAAAGCTTCACCACCTTTACAAAAAAATGACAGACACTCTTAATGGGCAGGTTTGTTGCAAAATGTAGTTTCATTAATGTTTGGTAATTGTGGATCTAGACTTCTCTCAAGTCTCTTGCAAAACTGAGGTAACTATACCAGTTAAAATGTAGATGAAAAAGCAAAGAATAGAAACCAATAAAAAAGTTAAGAATTTCACTGGTTATTGTGAAACACGGTCAGATATTGCACAACTGAGCCACTGATCTGAAGAGGAAGCATCAACATAATCATGAAACAGAAAACTGTTGTGTTTAAGCATAAAATGTAGTATTTCTCCCTTATCTTTGTTGTCTAAAAAGTTGTTTTTGTAACTCTACTCGCACTTAGCATCAGTCCAGCTTCAGCATAAAGTATGCACAAAGGGATGGCCTATATGCTATGACTAGGCTGGATTCTCCTCAGTTGCAAATTTCCATTGAAGTCCAAAAAAGGGAAAATTTGCATCAGCGTTCTGCCACATCAGTAGCAGGACACCAGTCACCAGTGTATGATTACTAAAACAAATGGGTCTTGTGGTTACATACTGTATCTATAGGCTGCGAGGTGAATCAAAGAGAGATCTTCCGTTCTTGCCTAGTTTACTTGTGAGATGTGGTAAATCTATTTTGTTTTCGACAACAAGAAAGCATAATTTCAGTGTCTTATAAAAACTGATGGGTGATGTATTTTTATACTAACAGCATCCAAATATATTCCAGATTTTCCGTGACATTAATAGGAGTTTAAAAATAAAAGTCGCTCTGGCCTATGTCACCATTAGCACCTGCAATTAAAGAAAAAAAATCCCCATCAAAACTAATTCTTATAAAGTTTCTAAAAGCACGAGAGTAAAAATACAGTACAACATTTAAATGTGTGACACAACTGGCCACCCATCTAATGTCAGTAATGAAAAGTCCCCCACTACTTCAAGTCTTTTACTTATTTGACAAATTTAGAGAAGCGTCTGAGCTGTTGCGTGCAGTTAGTCTGCTTGTGCATGATGGCTCAGACAGCAGCAGAGCTGTAGCAGAGCTTATCAGATGTGGGGAGCTGTGTTTCCTCTAATGCTGGCTTGAACTATCTCGTCACACATTGTTCTACTTTTTTAGGCTACTTATGCTCCCCTTTTCTCTCCCTCTCTCGCTCTCGCTTTCACTCTCTATCTGCCTTTCTGTCTGTCTCACTTTCTTAGGAAGTCCAATGTGGAGAGTCCTGGTGTGCTAAGGGGCAAAAACCTGGGCCCCCGGAGGAGGAATACATGTCCCAGTCCTCAGGACATCACCCGGGCCCTGCAGAGCCCCAGTTCTGCTCCCAGTGCCAGTGCTGCCAGCCTGGATGACCTCATACAGCGCTGCCTAAACTGCTTTGGTCAGTCTCTGTTTGCCATGTGGTTTTACACTTTAACAACAACAAGGTTATATAATTGAGGGATGAGGGAAAGTGTGGGGGGTGGGGGTGAGAGAAACTGACAGGGTGGGATGGAGAGAGACAAAGAGCAGTCTCATACAATCAAGCTTTGTTCTGTTGGGTTACAGAAGCCAGCCAGTCATTCCCATGCAATGTTAAACTATACAAATCTCTCTATCTCTATCTCTATCGCCTCCTCTGTTGGTGTATCAGTCAGTTCATTAAAATTACACAAATACATGTTTTGGACAGTAGAAAAACTCAAAATAATGATCTAGTTAACTGGCATAATATAAAGCTTTCCTAGGGAAATGTTAGGGTAAAATAAAACTAGGTAGTTTGGTTGTACTGAACCTTTAAATTATAATTAATATATATTTCTGTTGATAAAAACAGGCATACCTAGAGAAAGTCTGAAATCTCCACTCTACCTGAGCTGCTTGGTGTGACATAAACTCGTTGCCTATTGCACTGTTTGTTGTTTTTAATCACATTAATCCTCCTCCTGTGAATCCACTGCTCCGTTTTGCTTGCAGATTCAGAGGGCAAGACTTCCAGCCCAAGAGGGACCCAGTTGGTCCACATGACCCTGATGATGCACAGCTGGGTTGTGCCATCTGAGGCATTTGCCCAGAAACTTCTCACTCTATATCCTCCACTGCCACTCAGTGTAATACTCTGGTTCCACTGGTGCACTGCTCCCAATCACATGCCCATGTTGATTAATCAGATCAGGAAACAAGCATGGCTTTGTTTTGCACTCCATGTTTGCAAAGCAGATTTCAAGTATATATCCCTACTGTTTGGTATAATTTGCACAGTGTGTTTAGAGCCTTGACTATTATTCTTACTTATAAGGACTGTCCCTCCGACAAGAGAGGACTCAGGCGGACACAGATCCGCCACCTTGCCAGGTGAGTAAGGACACTCGAGACCGTTGAATGATGGAGTATGACGGAACTGGTTATCCTGCTCTATTTGCGAGTAGTAAACATGTTTTCTGTTTTGCTTTGTGGCAAGGCAGTGGATCAGCCAGTTCCCAGCGGTATTTGAGGTGGACCCCCACCTTGAACAGACCATGGGGGACCTGTGGGCACTGGTCCGGTCAGATGGAGAGGAGAAACACTCGCAGCTCATCGAGAACTCCTGCTTGTGAGTCATGTTTCTGTTTGATTTACCGTTGTACCCTGGAAAAACTGCATATATATAAATATGTCTAAAAACAGTTAAAAAAAATATATATATATATATATATAAACAATAAACAATCCTATAAATAGAATGATGATTTTTGTCCTGTTGCCTTTCCTAGAAGCCCTCACCTGAACATATCACAGGCACCCTCACCTTCTGTGAAGAAGAGGAAGGTGTCTTTAATATTCGATCACATGGAGCCAGACGAGATGGCTGAGCATCTCAGCTACCTTGAGTTTAAAAACTTCTGTAATGTATCAGTAAGTTCACCAAACAACTTCTCACTATTTCTTAGGTTTTTCACCCGATGAGACACCATCATGTTGCCATGACTCACAGAGATGTTCCTAGTCCTGAAATAAGCACTCAGAGTTGATGAATATGCATAGACAAGTTTTACTTTTGGTATCATTATTAGTACCAGTACATTATGTGGTTATGATAATTAGTCCTCTTGTAAAAATGTTATTATAGCCTAGTAGCAAAATTAATGGATAAAACATAAAATCATCTAAGATTCAAGCTAAAGCTCTTTAGTTAAGCATTCTTTGTCAGCGTTTGAGGTTTTTTGCTAAACAGTGTAGTTTAATGGCATCTTCATTCATTCTACACACAGCTGAGCATGAAGTATGTTAAAGTAAAAATATTATACTGTAAAAATGTTAAAGGTTCACTGCATTTTTGACAGTTTAAATGGTGACACTTTCCATGAACATTGGTCATTTTGTTTTAATCACACTATCAGTAATATGTTATTTGTAAGAACAAGTTTTTCTGCCACATTGTGAGAAATCCTGTTGCGTAACTTGCATTGTAGTTGATGGCATTTCTAACTTTCAATAGGAAGTGTGAACACTTTATGGGAAATGGTTTCAGTGTATCAATTTGCCTAATAGTACCTACATCTATAGTCTCAGTCCCTTTACAAAGTATTAGTAAATGGTGCCATACAGTCGATAGTGGTCACCGTATCTGTTGGTTTTACTGACAGTCAGGCTCCCTCCAGATGTTCCAGATGGTTTGTGAAATTGCAAAGTTGTGCCACAACTTTTTCTTTTACTCTGAAGCCACAATCAGAAGAAAAAATATTGCTTTAGTTTTATGAGAAAATGATTCAAAATGTTAAAATTACGAATAACCTTTATTTCTTGAACTCTTTTCTAATCGGACAGTTCTTGGATTACCGCAGCTATGTAGTACGAGGTTCAGTCCGGGACAATCCTGCTTTGGAGCGTTCAGTGATGATGTGTAATGGGGTCTCCCAGTGGGTCCAGCTGATGATTCTTAGCAGACACACAGCCCAGCAGAGAGCCCAGGTCTTCACCAAGTTCATTCATGTGGCTCAGGTAAAGTACCTGGGGAGGCAACATCACAAAAACTGGAATAAGAGCTAAGACGCATTTTGGTTTGGCTGCCAGGTCTACTGTTTCAGGTGCACTTTTTCTAATTTACAGTTATTTCTTATGCTCTTTTCCATTTAGAAACTTCGATCTCTGCAAAACTTTAACACTCTCATGGCCGTAACTGGAGGCCTCTGTCACAGTTCAATCTCCCGCCTCAAAGACACTTCTAACCTGCTGCCTCCTGATGTCACTAAGGTATTTTAAATATTGCGTGTAATCATGAGTCAGTGTTAGTGCCTGTCACGCCACAAGGGTGTAAACGTTTAGACATTGCTTTGCTTAATCATTGCAATGTCTGTTTCTTCACCTGCTAACCCAGTAAGTGGTGTTTCTGGTAATTCTTTATCTTTTGTTAGATATGGTGGCATTCAAAAAGTGATATTTGCATGTCATACACATCAACTAAACTTACTGTACATATGAGAAAGAATGTTTTGGGGCGTAACATTAACTCAGAGAAGTGTTTGGTACACATTGCATTTTTACCTCTTGTTTTTCCTGTGTGGGACAACACCTTCAACTGCCCTCTTGGGGTTGCTTTGTCATATCCTGAAGAGTTTTTATAGATTTTTTACATTTTTAGCTGTATGGTCTCATCACAGCTAGCCAGCTGTTTCTAGACAAACTGGACAAACGTGTGCAAAGGTTTGCCATATCTTAGATTACTCTTAGACGATTCACTGTTTTCCATTTAAACAAAAAAAAGGCTTAGTTAAATATTTTAAAAATATATATTTTTTAATCACTATTTGTCAATCTTTATTTTCTGTCAGGCTCTCAGTGAAATGACAGAGCTGCTCTCGTCGCGGAGTAATTACATCAACTACCGTCGGGTTTACAATGAGTGCACCGGCTTCAAGGTTCCCATTTTGGGTGTCCATCTAAAGGATCTGATCTCGCTGAATGAGGCCTTGCCAGACTACATAGATGAGGAAAAAATCAACCTGAGCAAGCTGCAGCACCTCTATAGCAACATTAATGACCTGCTGGCCCTCCACAGCTGTACACCACCCTTTGAGGCCAACAAAGACCTGCTGCATCTGCTCACGGTACTAGAACAAGAAACAAGAAGGGGATTTTTACAAAGTTAGATAGCACGAAGTCACAAACATCTGAAATTCTGTTCTGTGTTAATGTTTCAGCTCTCCCTAGATTTATACTACACTGAGGATGAGATATATGAACTCTCATATGCCAAGGAACCCAAGAACCCCAAGGTTCAGGTCAGTAGAGCTGAAGTGAAGCTCTTTGTAACGGTACACAGGTTCACACTTACTTTAACCTCTTCTTATAAGCGGGTGGACATTTGCGCACTTTCTGTGGGTGTAACGTGTTCTTCAAAACAAAAGCAGAGACGCAGTGCTTAAATACATCAAAGTTAGCCACATCAAAGCGCTGTACGTTAGGGAAGTGTATTATGTGGTGGGTGTGTGCATTTTTGCTTGTCTGACAGTCTTCGTGTCTCATTGCTGCATCTGTTTGTCCACAGCCTGTAGCTCCAGTTAAACCCCCAGTAGTGGCAGAGTGGGGTTCAGGAGTCACCCCCAGGCTCGACCCCGACACCATATCTAAACACGTCAAACAGATGGTGGATGTGAGTATGTGACTTTGCAACAACCTGATGTCTCTCACTTCCTTATTACTTGGCAGCCTAAAGCAGAACTAGCAAACTGTTCCTTGACAAGTGGAACTGAATATCTGATCGTTCTGTTGCCCCCTGCAGTCCATAATGAAGAATTATGACCACAATCAGGATGGCTACATTTCGCTGGAGGAATTTGAAAAAATAGCAGCCAACTTCCCCTTCTCCTTCTGTACTCAAGAAACTGACAGGTGAGGAAGCTGCAGCTCACACGCGGGCCTCTCGTCATGACCTAAATGCAAATCAGAGAAAGGACAACTTGCTTACATCTATGTTGCACTTTGGAAAATTTTCTGCCTAGGGAGGGACAAATCAGCCGTGAAGAAATCACCTCTTACTTCATGAGGGGAATGTCCGTATGTGCCAAGTTGGGGTACAACTTCAATGACGCGCATAACTTCCATGAAACCACATACAAACGACCAACATTCTGTGATATATGTAGAGGCTTTGTGAGTGTCATTAGCTTTGTTTGTTGTTTGTTTCTTTTTTCTCATTGTTTTGGGTTTTGTAGAAATTTAGTCAAATTGTAATTTGTCATATCTTGCAGCTATGGGGTGTCACCAAACAGGGCTACCACTGTAAAGGTAGGCTCAGAAACACAAAAATAAACCTCTACGATCAGAGATCTTAACCTTCTAATCAACTGTCAAGAGTAATCAGCTTGATCTGAGCAAGAATTTGCCCAATAGAATAAGACAGAGTTTAAGAGGACAATTCTCTGAACATGTGGCCTCTTGACATTTCCTCTGCTATTGAATTTAGTTTGTAACGCTAAAAGCATTACAAAATTACACGTCAACACTGAAATAGGCTATGTTGTTCCAAAAACAATGGTCTGATTACTCTGGATAATCCACAAAACTTTTTCTTAATCTGAGTGAACGAATCCTTAAAGTGGTAGTGCTTTAAAAGCTTAACATTTTCTCTGTCTTCCAGACTGTGGGATAAACTGCCACAGACACTGTAGAGATCTGGTGGGTATTGAGTGCTTGAAGAAACACAAAAACACGACCGGGTCCTGTCCATGCACCCCCGCACCTGATTTAAGAACCAAGGGCAACAGCTGGAGTGCGTCCTTTCTTCTTCATATACAGTCCGCAAAGCACACACTGTTTTCTGTCAGTAAAAAGTCTCTAAAATTATTTATTTATTTATTTATTTTTGGTCAGGTTCGGAAGAGGACACCTTTGTTTTTCCCCCGAGTAATGAAACAGAGCACCATAAGGGTACATCTGACTGGAAAAGTAACACCAGTGAATCAGTACTGTCCGACCGCTCCACTCAGACGGATCCTGGAGTTTGGACACCTGAGAAGAAGGACAAAAAGGGAAACCACCTTCACTCTCGTCCATCACTGAGAAAGGTGAGAAATGGTGCAAGTTCCTGCAAAGTGATCATTCAGAAAGGAAGTGTTTCTTAACCTTTTCTTCTCTGTGATCCTGTTTATGTGTGAAAAATGCCATGATTGCATAATGAAATAATACAGCAAGGATTCATTTAAGATTAAAAACTTTGAGTTGCTACCAGACACAGGACAAAATGATAACTCTGTTAAGAATACTGTGAGCTTGGACTCCATATGTACAACTTTGAATGACTCCCTCTACTGTCGTTTTCATGCCTGCTGTTATAAAACAGCAAAATAATCCTTTTTTGTGTCCAGCTTGTCCATCTGACTGCTGAGACTTTACTACCTCATATTTTAGGCACTACTTTCAGAGTTAAAGCATTACAAGTGCAGTTTAAAACACTTTGCAAGACTTTGTGAAATGAGAAAAACAAACAGTGACTAGTTTCTTTATGATTAATTTGACATTTGTTTTCCAGGTCAGCACTCTACCACACAGAACCCGCTGCTCCATGCCTGTTTCCTTCCTGCAGGAGAAGATGGAGGAGCTGCATCTGTACAAAGACAAAAGCAGGGAGCCAGACTGAGCACTCATTTCCCCACATGGACAAAGCACAGACACAAACACATTTTTTGGACAAAGCTGTGTCTGACTCGTGTTGAACTGATACTATTTACTGGCCACTTATTTTAGAAGGCCAGCAAAGGACTCATTTGTGTTTCAAGCATGGTTGTGTGATGTTTTTCATTTGATCTTTGTCACTGCTATTTTATTGGTTATCCGGCTCAGAAACATGGATTTTCCTACTGCGGAACACCTCGTATTGTTTTGAACTGGTGCCTTGGTTTTCTGGTGCTAAACCACCTTACTTCCTAATTTATGCCAACCTATAGGCAGGCTTTTCCTGATCATACAATATATACACACATGCAGGGTAGGAAATTAACACTAACCTCAACAAAACTGTGGTTAATTGTAACACTGGCAGCTATATGACAACTCGTCAATTTGGAAAGAATGGAAAACTATTTTAACTGTTATTTATTTGGCTGTTGATTGGATATTTGATATACAAACAGCTAATGTATCAATTTATCGCGTGTCAAAAAGTTATATTATCGAGTTTTACCTTAGCATCTGTTAGCCCAGTTGGTAGTAGAGTTTTGCACATCAAATTCTAAATGGCAATATTGGATTTCATATGTTTTTTACTCAATTAAGCTGTCAGAAAAAGTTAGTGGAAAATCACAAAGTATTTGTTATTGAAACTTCATCATCTATATTGCCCACTTGAATAGCAAAAGGAGCTTGTTAAGCCTAATCGGCCATCATGACTACAGTTTAAAATGTTCATTTCCTTCCCAATGTTTTTGACTGCACATGCATATGGTCCAAACTTGGCATATGGTTTTTAGCTAAACGCTTCCTTTTGTTTTGTCCATGATTTACAAATGTTGGGAAAAAAAGTCGAAAAACATATCAATGATTAATCAGACAGTATGTGTTGTGTCTGACTTCACTGAAGGGGAACAAAAGGACATTAACAATTACAGGCGTATACAACTGCATTTATTGTATAAAGACAAGACAGTTTGCGTAACTGATCAAAATCTGATTTTCATTTTCAGGTAGAAAACAAATGGTTTGAAAAGAATAGGATTAAACTACAAGACAAAATGCGCAATCACAAAGGGATGAAAAAAAAGGAAAAAAACCCAACCCTGCACATAGAACTAGTCAAGAGTGGCAAAATATTTTTCTCAATCAAAGACTGGATTAAATACTACAGCATCAACACCTATTTAAAAAACGTGTTTCATAATGCTTGGTGTCTATTGCAGTAAATAAAATGTAAAATCGGTAACTGAAAATTAAAAAGCAAGACAGGACAGGGTCATGGATGTAAAAAGCATGCATTTTGTTCTTCTCAAAGCAAGCAAAAGTATTCAGGGTTTGCTGTACTTTTCCTGCCTTCTTCACACTATGAAATGTACAATTACCTCTTCAATCTGTAGTAAATGTGGATTTCATACATCCACACTGAATGCATTATCAATAACATTCATTAAATGTCTTGATACCTATCATCTACCACTTCACGGTCACTGCTTAGAATAAGACTTAATTCAGTAAAAATAATGAAAAGACATCAAACTGTATGTAATTTAGGTGTACACGGATTGATGGCAAATGAAGGCTACTGTGTTAAATCAGATGGAGGATGTTATGGTTGGAGACACAATGTGGGACTGTACAAAAATCAATCTTCTGCAGTTATCAGAGGTGTTCAGGACACAGGTGGATGCAGGTACAGATGCAGGAAGGAAGCTACTGGGAACCAGAAGATGAGCCTTGGCTGCCTTGTCCAGGATAGCTGCCATACTGGCTGTAATATTGATTCCACTGGTTCTGATTCTGGTAGTACTGCTGCCACTGCTGAGCATACTGTAAATCAAAGCAAGAAGCATTTAGAGTTAAAAGTATGTTTACAAGTTTGAGATACTTCATGATCATTAAACCCTTTCCAAAGCCTTAAAGGTGGAGAAAGAAAGAAAGAAAGAAAGAAAGAAAAGGCTGAACACTGTTTTAAAGTTGTGAACTTTGTGATTCAGTTTTTCTACAGTGAAAACTTTGGATAAAACTTGGCCACCATCAGATCGATTACTACTAAAGTGAATTCATTAGGATTTCTGCCACTGGGCTCTATTAAAGTAACGGCCTGAGTTCATAGGGCCAAAAATGGATGTTAGTGGTACCTGCTGATACTGCTGGTTGTAGCTCTGCTGTGGCTGCTGTTGTGGTTGCTGTTGTGGTTGCTGCTGCTGGTGGTTGTACGTCTGACCAGTGGCAGGTGTCTGGCTGTAGCTCTGACTGTATGCTGGGTACTGACTGTAGTTGCTGTAGTAATTCTGGTTGTAGTTGCCCTGGTTGTACCCTTGATTGTAGCTCTGGCTGTAGCCCTGAGGGTGAAGAAGAATACAATGATATAATTTTTTCCTCCATTTTATAATTTATGGTGTTTTATCCATAAATGAATCATATTAAGTACCTGGTTGTATCCTCCTTTGTTGTAAGAGGGTGCAGTTCTGTAGCTTCCCCCGGACTGCTGACTGCGGTTATATCCACTTCGTGCATCAGAGCCTCCGTCACGGTAGCTGTTGCCCCACCTGTTCTGGTTATAGCTGCCACGATTGTAGCCTGTAAAACGCAACAAAAAGATGAAATATCTACAGACATTTATTGAACAATTTTATTTTACAAAAATGCCGTGCCAACGTAAAAGTCAAAGGAAGAAAGCAGGTGCAACATTTGTTAAACTGAGATCATTAAGTGTTCAGGAAAAATATGTTAACCTGAAAGTTCCAACTTTCTAGTTTGAAATTATCAAAAAATAAATAATATTTAAGAGTTCTTACCTCCTCTGTATCCACTGCCTCCATCCCCACTGCGGTTCTGGTAGCTGCCACGAGCTCCATCACGGTTGTCATACCGCTGGAAGCTACCACCTCCGCGGCCACGGAACCCACCAGACCTGTTATCAAAGCGTTTCTCAGGGGGTGGGCCAGCTTTGCGGCCCTCCTCATTGTACTGCTTCATCAACTTTTCAGCCTCGTCGCGCTGCAGCTCAACGTAGGTGACTGCCTCCAGGAAGTCGCAAGGCTCAGGGAGAGTAAAGTTGGCTTCAAGAGTGGCAGTGATGACCACAGGAAAGAGACAGCCCATCCAGCAAAAAAAGGATGGGAGAGAGAGAAAGAGGGGGAGGGGGTTGTAGTGAAGACCAAAGCAGCCACACCACCGGAAGACAAAATGAAAACTAATTACTATTGTACAGGGGAAAAGTACATCAGAGAAACTAAGAGCAGATAATGAAGCAGATGGTAGGGTAAAGGGAACAAAAATTACCTCCAAGGGAACATGGAGGAAACATTTGTTTAAACAGACACAGGAGAGGAGGGAGACTTCAGTAAAGGTGGGGAGGGGGACAAAGGACAACTAAAAAGTTGGTGAGAAGAGGAAACAGCTCTGCAAACCAAGGACAGCTGATGTGAGAGTGTTACAAATTAACTTACAAAAACCTATGCATGTAAATGTGTCATTTGGAAACATTCGTTTCATGGAAGCCAATTGCGCAGTATTGGTTCTACTATTACAAAGCCGAAATCTCAGTTTGCAGGGCATCAGAAGTAAGCTGAATGGCAAGTGGTAGATACAGGGCAAAAAATAAGAATCAGATTCATGTTGACTTTTTAAAAAATATCCAGGTCTGATATCTGGCCAAAGGCTATGATGAGGGAAGGGGGGAGGGGGCATCTTCCAAGTTTGATTTTAGAGACAACACATAGAAAAAAAGTAAAAAAAGTAGATCTGGTGTTTTATTTATTGTTTCCACAGCGTTCCTACCTTTCATTTCTAACACAGCATGATCGGGCACATCCTTCCCCTGCTCATTGGTTTGCTTTAATGTTCGTTCTTTTAAATCCTCGTCCGTGGGACAAATTACAATAGCCTTGCGTTGAAAACCTTCAAAAGGACGCATTTTTCGTCTCCTTGCTGATCCATAAACATTTGTCTAGCAATGGTGACAAGAAAGAAGTAGAAGCTTGTTTGTTATTGTTTATTTGTAATGGCTTTCCACTGGAAGGAAGCTGGAACCCTGCAATAATGAAGTGAGAGAGGTTTGGCTTGGACGTCAGTCTACGTTTTTACTCAGGTACTATTGGCCTCTCGTCACTCCACAGACTTACCTCACGGTCTGTGCGTCCAGGTACCCAGTGACTGCTAAAGAAAGTTATTGTAAATAGAGGGACCCCGTGCTGACTAAACTTTCTGCTTTGTCAGACAACGCCAAGATGCGCGCACTCAATTCTGTGTTCATTCAATGACTATGTGCTGATTGTAAATATGCTTCAAAAGCACTGCTACAATTACGCAGAGCAGTAACTGAGAGAAGCTGTGAGTATTTTGTATTTACCTCAAACATTAAAAGAACTTAAATATGCCCTAGATGAACAGTTACAATGCCGAAAGGTATATTACAGTTACCATTTCGATTGAATTGATTTTCAATTCAGTTAATTCTTCTTCTATTGCGATGTAGCGATTATAAATGTAGAGATAGTTTGCAGTAGTCACCAGGTGGAATAGCAAATACATAAATATTTCATATCTTGCTCTGAACAACCTAATTTCAGTATTATAAACTACTGCTGTTAAGATTTTTCTCCCAAAATATTCCATAGCACTGATCAGCAGGAACGACTCATGGTTACATTTTGCTTTGATGACAGTGCCAACTGTCAAATGTAGCCACATTATAAATCACTTTTTTTTTTTCCATAATCCTTGCAGCCTGTGTAAGAACTCAAAACTGAATGAAAATGCTTCAAAAACCCTCGTTTCAAATCAGGACTACAGCTCAATAACAAACACTTAATAATTACGCTTTATCTAAATTAGGCTTTTAGGTGACATTAAAACTGCCAAAGCACAACTATCAAACTGCGCCATGCTATGACATTCAAATAGAAGACTTGCGGTTAGGACACTTTAAACAGCAAACAGCTCACAGTATTAACTTCAAACAATCTCTCTCTTCATCCAGCAGAACTCAGTGGGGTCTCCACTGACCAACAAACAACTAAGTAATGCCAATGTCAGTTAAATTTGTAATGAATATGATCTCACAATTTAACAGTGAGAAGCTTATACAAGTTCTTATTAGTAACCAATTTAGCTTTAAATATATGCCAAAAGCTTAAAAAAAAATAAAAAAAATAAAATAGGATTTCGGTTCCTTAATATACACACAAAGAAATCACATACCTCAAAGAAAACACTGTGTCTAAAGTGCCAACTTTACAACTTTTATCGAATATAAACATGTCCGAAAAGCACCATTTACCACAGCATGCTGCTTCAAAAACCGCTTGCTAGTCTCATGGGTCCCTCAGACTTACCTTTACTCACCTTTTCTTCATACGAGCTCTTGTCCCATTCCAGACAACACATATATAACCTACCTGCAAATACTCACAGTTTCCACAGAAAAGCCACAGTCCACCATCAGACCCACCTACCTTTTTCCCACATTTCCTGAGCTCAAAGATCTGAAAATCTAAAAGGCTGTTAGTCAGTACTTACCTTAGGGGTCAATTTATTAAAAAACACACTCAAAAGTTCCATATATCTCACTTAAAAAATAGCTTTTAAAAAGCTATCAACTCTGTCTTATTAAATTAGCAACAGAAGGTGTTTTTCTTACTCACCAGTCAGAGCTTACTTGTTTCTCAACATCTTTACAAAGTCATGGTTTACTTGTACATTGTTGAAATTCACAAGACAAACAATACTGTATTATGACAGGGAATAGCAAGTGCAATATACTGCGGGATGAAAACATAACATATTCTGTCACTTATGAGAGCCATTAATCATTTTCGTTTACAATGCATGACAAGCAAGTGACAAGAGGGAGATCAATGCTTCTTCTACTCTATTATACACAGAGACCCCCTGAAAGATAAATAAATAGTCCATTAGAGAGAGAGTGATCATCAGGGCACATTGACTGACTGTGGTGAGTATTAAAGCAGAGTGTAACTGGAGGGGCAGTACCTGATCGAGGATGTAGTTGCGTCTCTTGCGGGCGGCGATCTCAATCAGCCGGTTCAGACACTGGGTGGCCTGCTGTATCAGAACATCCCAGCGCCCGGCGTAATTCTTCTGGCGGCGCAGACCCATGACCTGGAGAAAAAGGAATACATTTTAAAATCTTTGTTTGAAAATAAATAAAGACTTTGAACAGAACCAACATTCACAATGTAATGAAGAAAAAAACCCCACAACAAACAAAACCAACCTTCATCTTGTCCATGATAGCATTTGTGCCCAGGATGTTGTACTTCTTGTCCGGGTTACTCTCTGCATGCTTTGAGGCCCAAGTGGTTTTTCCACAGGCAGGGAGGCCAACCATCATCAAAATCTGGGGGAAAAAACAAAACAAAACAAAAAACCTCTGATCAGTGCTACATCAATTTTTTATTTTGCTTACAATTAAATTTACAAATTGTGGCTAACTTCCAATTAACAGTCAAGCATTTAGTCTCCCCAAAACAACAGAAGATTTGGGGGCAAAAACCTCATGTACTGTATAGTACAATTTCACTGCTAACTTACCTCACACTCAGACTTGCTGGCAGGTCCTTTAGTACCTCTGATCTTGTCCTCCATCTCCAGATTGTGGATGAAGGTGTATCCCTCTTGTGGGGGGAAGTAAGGCTCTCGCTTCTGTCCAAAGTTGAACTCAACCGCACAATTCTTAACCAGGACGTGAGGGAACAGGGCACGGCCTGCCAAGGCTTCTTTGGTTGTCCGGAAAGCCACACCCAAATGCACTCCATTCTTAGAGAAGCCCATCTCCACCTCGTCACCACTGTCAAAGTCCTTAAAGTGACAAAGCAAAGAAAACGTCTCAACTTGTAAAATATGCAAAATGCGAGCATTATGATAGATTACTACCATAATTACTGAATAAAAACACAATAACTAAAATAAAGAATACATTATTAAAGAAATGTGTGAAATTCTTATGTGATAAGCTTTAGAGAAAATGAATCAATTACTTACAATGTAACAACCGATGACATCATTTTCACCAAACTTCTCACCAAAGTCTGAAAATTTACAGTCAACGGATTTTTTTCCTGTTCCTCCATATCCAAAGGAAAATGGCTCCTCGCCTAAAACATTGCAGGATTAAAACAATTGTTTTATTAGTTGACCGAGCAAACATCATGTTGAGTATTGTGACAGATGCTTCACTCACCAAGCTGAGTGCTGCAGTGGTTGAGAGACCACCCAATTCTGACCACATGGGGATCAGGCTCACTGCTGGGGAGGTGCTTCACAGGAATTTCTTCATTGATCTTTAAAAAAAACAAAAGTCAAACACAATCAGAGTAAGATTTTTGTTTGCCTAATACATATATGCGTGCGTGTGTGAACCAGAAGGATTACTTGACATTATTTCAAAAACAAACAAAACAAAAACAAAAGAAAAGTTAACCAGAGCTTCTATAAAAATGGTGTTTTCAGCTACATTGGTTTAAAGGCCAACAGGGTTAATGCTATTCTTACATTTGACGATAATGCTTGTTAATAGTCAAGTTTCCCCAATACCAAATTGGTAAAATTTCATAAAATAGGTCTGACCTCATCAGCACGAATCATCTGTCTAGCTTTAAAACTACTAAGCCTTTAGACAAACGCATCCATTTACCTTCATCTCATAGCACACGCGTCCCTGGGTGACTCCATGAGTTGCTCGTGCCCCAGCCCAAAGGTAAGCAAAGCCTTCAATGGTCAGTGGATAACCACTGTAGCGGTCACGGGAAACTTTGAAGTGCAAATCACAATTGTCTGAAAACCAAAGAGTTAAGCACAAAGCATCAAACACTTCATCTATATCAGTCATAAGATGGTAGTCTACATCTCTGCAGCAATAGTGGGCGCTCATTATCACTGTAGATTAGAGCAGAGCATACATATATTTAAAAGGTTACACGTAATCCATCAACAAAAGCATGTAGTGAATAAATGACTGTGTCTGCTACAACAGTCCAACTTCCCACTGTCTCTGATATTTATAAACAACCATAGACAGCACACTGACACTAGTTTGTTCACACACTATTTAATGTACCATACTTACACGTATCAATTGTAACAAGAGTGTCATCTATGTTCTCCTCTTCATCTTCAGCAGGAGGCTGAGGTGTTCGGGATCTGTACAATAACACCAGAGTATTTATTGTCATACACTTTGCCTTATCCATTCCGAGTGTAGACAGTTGAGTTAACTAAGAAAAACATGTAGAAGCCCACCTCTTCTCCTCACGGTGCTCATAATAGCTGTAGCCCCTGTTCTCCTCATACGGCCTCTTACGTCCATAGTGTCCACCTCTCTCATCTTCAGTTTTGACTTGCTCTGGCTGACCTGCGGTATCTTGCCCATGCTGCTGGTCATGCTGATTATCTTGTTGCCTTTCACCTGCACCCTCAGATTCATCTTCCATTTTGACCTCTACTTTAACTTCTTAAATTAGACATGAACAAACATAACACATTTTAGCATGAAAACAAGTTGTTGAATTTTTTCTACTAGGTATGAGAGCAGTTTGAGTGTTGGGTTTACATGTCTTTACTGTATGGCCAAAGTCCACGAGGAAAATTTTACACTACCTTTAGCATCATTTAGTTTAAGCAGATCACTGTGTCATTGTGCCACCTCTGCATGTCGGCAGTAAATAGCAGTAAAACTTGAATCTCTGAAAAGCGTTTCTATTCTCAACCAGTGCCATCAGAGATTAATACAAGACTATAAAAATCAACTGAGTAATAAAAGTAATGAAACATTACCTTGTCTATTATTTTCATTCTCCTCCTCTTCATTCTCTTCCTCCACTTCCTCCTTTGTTGCAGGCTTGGTCTCTTCCTCAGACATCATGTCAGTTTTCTGAATATCCTCATCTGCTGTGAAGTCGGGCACATTGTGACCCGAGTCTGAAGGAGTCTGACTTTCGTAGGGGTTACCTTCTGCCTCCTCTTCTTCATAGTAACCACCTGAATCTCGGCCCTCATCTTCATCTTGAGGGGCATCACCTTCAGCTTCCTCACCACCACCATAGTCCTCAGCTGCTTCTGAATCTGGAAATGTAAAATTTTTAAACTTAGTTTAGGTGTTCTAAAGTTTGTAAAGTGAAAAGTTTGTTGACATTTCCCAACTTTGAAACTTTAATTTATACTTAAGTACAGTGAAGTGCTTAAAATGTAATATCAGCAAAGGGCAGAAACTGGATCAAAGTCCAAAACAACGTAATAAAACTAGTTTCATGGAAGTGAAATGTTTAATGAAATAATACTTTACCTTGCTGCTCTTGTGCATCCGTTTCATCTTCATTGTCTTGGTAGTCATCACCGTATTCCTCTTCCTGCTGCTGATCCCCTTTATCCTCTTGCTCACCAGCATCAGCCTGAGCTTCAGCCTCCAGAGCGGCTTTCAGCCTCTCTACGAGGTCTGCCTTCAGGCCTCTGGTGTCCAGGCCACGGCGCTGGAGCTCTTCTTTTAACTCATTGACTTTCAGTTTCTTCACGTCAACACTCATTGTGATTTTGGATGTCTGCTTGGTGCTTCTTGTCTTTATTTGCTACAAAAATTGGGAGGAAATGTTCAGGTACTGCTAAAAACACTGCCTATAACTTTCAAATGTTATCTGCTGCGCGGCACCGTGCCCACAGCCAAATAGGCTGCGTTAGCCGTTTAGCTAAGCTAGCAACGCTGGACAGATTCTGTAAGAATATACAGTGTTCCACTACACGTCTGTGAATCATTAAACTCGTGTTTTATCGCAGCCGTTACCAATATAACCCTTTGCAAGTCAAAACTATTCCTAAAATAGATGCTAATGCTATTACTTATCTAAATATCTTGCTGAGCGCCTAACCTTCTTAGCCTAGCATTAGCTAACGCACCGACAGCCGCTGCAAGGGAAGAAACTTTAACTCAGACAATAAGCAAGCTGCGACCCATACTTTATGTCTGCATGCAAGTCCAGGAGAAAATGAACTGTGCAGTCCGCTTAAAGTTTAGTACTAAAGCGGAATATATTAACAAAACAAGGTTGAGGCCTACCTCCTTTCACCCAAGTTGCGCGGGCAAGTCGTGTTAGAAGACTGAAAGAGTTGCTACCGCCCCCTGGCGCCACAAAGTGGCCCAAACTCAGAACCGGAAGTTAACCAGAGCCGCTTGGTTGAATTTATTATTCTACTGCAAAAACACTGGGGTGCACTTCTTTGAGCTACCAAATAGCGCGAGTTTACCATTAACTAATTTGTACCATATAATCTTAGATGAAAAAAACAAAGTTCTGTATGATACGCGTTAAGCACTTGGAGCGTTCCAAAGCAGGAAGTGTTTAAGTTGACGTCATCTTGGGTACTGTAGTTTTACAGTAATGTGAAGACACGCGGGACATTATCCACTCTGGAGGTGCTTTCAGTTTTGTTCACTTGTTTCGTATTAAACATAACAAAAACGCTATCAACAGCCAACATATCATTTTATTTCAATTTTTTTTTCCAATTGTCACCATATATCCAATTAAAAACCAGCAATTACAACATGGAATTTTATGGACAGTACAGGGGCAGATTCTCTCAAAAACTATCCAGTGATATGAGCTGGTTCTGTTTTTTGTTTTTTTATATATTTTTTCCATTAATTAGCGCTTTGGGTGCCTTGAAAAGCGCTATATAAATCCAATCCATTATTATTATTAATATTATTAATATTATTATTATTATTATTATTAATAGTAACTCATAATTAGTATTTAAAAAATCATATAATTCAGTATTTCCAAAGTGATTAAGGTCTACGAGGATCACTGAATTACAAAGAAAGGAATATGCTGAAGCTGTTAAAAATATATATGTATATATCAACTTTAAGGTCACCACTTTATTGTACTGTAAGTTTTTATATACACTCAGTCAACTTTACAATGAACATACAAGGTCAGCCAGTGAAATTCACTATGAATATCATAGCAATTCCTTTTTTTACAACTAGTTGCTCAGAACACGAGCAAACAATAGCACCCAAATCCGCATTGCAGTGATATACTTATATCAACCTCTTCCACCCAGCTCAAAGCTATGAGGCTGTACATGTACACCTGCACTCACTCCTTCATCCCACAACCTGACATTGTGCCTTGCTGTATAGCAAACAACTAAATTTGTTACTTTTTGGTGGGAACAGGAAATGACAGCATTTGCCTGTTGACCTCTCTCAGCTGCGCACTTAGAGTCTCTGTCGTTAGGGATAATTCTGCTAGTTGCGTCTGTAGGCTTATGAGGGTCTCGTTCAGCTCTTCCTCTTTACGGCGAGAGTTAGCCGCCTGCCTGCTGTACTCTAACACCATGCATCCACCACCAATGAGGAAGATGATTGATTCCCCCAGTAACTCGGCGCCCAGCTCTGCTGCCGCTTCCTCGTTCAGCGGCTTAATGGTGGCTCCCCTGAAGCCCATGATCCGCATCTTTGTTCTCATCTCAATCCAGTGATAAACTGTTGGAACAAGGAGCATACAGTATATAAGGAAAGAGCTGTTAGACTTTGAATATGTTTGGGTCCTGTTCAATTTTTCATCAAATCTGGTCAAAGGTTGCGAATACAGGAGAAACTGCATTTATAGTTAAAGATGCATGTCATCATTGCACTATCATTTATTATAATCTTCTACCCAGCTGAGAAAGTAGCCTTAATACCATACTGAAATTGGGTTGAAATTGTTTTGTTTTTTAGAATAAAACATGAAAACAGGACAACACTGCCCAAAACCACAGAATCAGTGGTGCTCTTGGTACATTACACAGAAATTAGGCAACCAGGTTCATTAAAACTGAATCATTCTTCCATATATACCTGTGGTCACCACATGACTTAGGATCCACATTTACTAGTTAATAATTCAAGAGACTCTCCAAGATTCAGCAGTCCATCAAGGAGACAAATTATCTTGATGTCAGTTATAAGTGGGAAAAGAATAAAGCCCCCTGCAAAGTGAGAAGCCTCTTAAACAGAATGCAAGAAGGCTGCCACGTAAAGATGAATCCCTTCACAGTCACTGGTGTCCTGTATAGCAACTGAGAAGCCAAATCCCTCAGAGCCTTAGCTTACATAATATTTCTTGTCCATAACAAATTTTGTGTGTTGTCATTTTGCCCCTGCTCATACTCCTCAAAAGCTGGTGTGTCCTCCATTTCACCTTCTTGCTTCTGACCCTCCTCCACCCCTTGACAGCTCTAAGTATGACTACACCTTCACAGTTCGGAGTAAAATCCTTTCTGCTTCACTCAGCCATCATATATGAAGATAAGACCACCTTTAAATCTAATCAAACTTTAATTGCATTTTATCTACTCAGTCAACAAATAATACCGTGCCCTTTTTTCTGCAGCGCCTTTTCATAAAAGCTCGATTTGATGCATTAATTTACTTAAATTTGCTATCTTTAAAGAAAAACTGTGACTTCTTTTTAATTTGCACACAGTAACAAACACAACATGATATACACAGTAATCTTTACTTGGGAAGTATTTTGAATGACTAAACAATAGAGCTAAGTGTCCACTTAGCATATTTCTGTCTAATTAAAGTCAGTGTCACATTCTGAATAGGGCGTTAGGACAACAATTGTCCTGCCGTGCCCTCATAATAGCAAAGGCTAATACAATCTGTTTCAATGACAGACAAGACCCGCCCTTTACACCTTGCCTGGCTGCTATTGGTCGAAGAAATATATCTTGAAAGATGATTGGATAACAGTCATTTCAGGTTCATTATCATTGGTTGTTGCGTCTCCCCATGCTTATCAACCGTCAGAGGTGACTGGACTGAACTCTAAGCCTTTAGCAGCCGTTAGCTCAAATTACTCACTCTGTGCCGGCGGCAGGCAAATGTAAGTTTTAAAGAACTCGCTCCTCCGGGCTCCAGCTTTTATCCGGTTAGCCACAGGCTTGCTCAACTGCCTCACTCCGAGGTAGAGGAGCTTGGCGATAGGGAAGGCACCAACAACCATCTTGGCGGAAACGCTTCTCAATGGGGCGGAGTGCGTAGAGGTTACGTGATGACGTTAATGATTGACAAGCCCAGTCACAAATCCGACCACGTGTCCAAGTCTCGTGAACTGAAACGCCCTGATTTCCTTACTTATTTGGTCCCATCTTTCCCAATTTAAATAACATTATTGATGTTTGACATTAATTTTCTCTTTAAAAATGAACTGAATATGTAATTAATTAAGTTCATAAAATGAAAAACAATTTTTTTGCGTGGCATCATATTGCATTGGTGCATGTTAGATTATTTCAATGCACAAGCATTATAAACTATAAACAAAAGTAAGGTACTATTTTATGGTTTTATTTTTTCTTAAAATGAGAGAGACTTGTGTATCGGAAGTATATGATGGGCCTATAGGCCCAACAAATTAATACAGTTATATGTTTTTAAAAATACATAATTGTGTAAAACAATAGTCTATTATTATTCATGTAACACAGTTCATAAACTAAAAAAAATCTATTCAAAAGTGAGGGTGTGAATAAAAAAAAAATCGACAATTACCTGTCCGCAATTTATTAAATAATACGCAACTCTTCCCTCACGGATTATAAACTTCACCTGGAACAGCTGTGGCAGGAACACTTGGCTCGGGTTACAGCACTGAAGAAAGCCGAGGGGCTGGACTATCAGCCAAAATAACTCAACTCGGTACGCAGCTATGACTAAATGTCTGGAGCCGCCGCCACAAGAGAGCGACTCAGGCTGATCCCAACTTCAGGAAGACAAGAAGGTTTGGACGCAACGCATTCTCTTCAGTTTAGGACAAAAGGACAGGCTCTGATTTGTTGAGGTATGAACTTTTAATTTGTTCCGTAATGCAAGTTTGCCCGTCTTCATGGTCGAAAACTCTAAGTTGCGGTTTAAGATGGTGCTTGCATTACGGATTTGGGCAACGTCGGATTAGTTATCTGTTCGCACCTCAACTGAAGTTATGAAAACTCTTTTTCACAGCGGATCTCCTTTCATTTCTAGTTGATTGTGAGGTTTCTTCTATTTGAGGAAGAGCGTGTACTGTAATGAAAATCAGATGTTACCAACCGTGCCTGGCATGCCACTCTGTCCAAAACCACAAAGAAAAGCTGAAGTGCAAAAGCGAGCTGCTGGCTGGACATTGATGTGCAACCAGTAAAACAATCGTTTATTTACAGTTATGTATATATATAGTCTAATACAGCCATACAGCTATGTAGAAACACAATATCCAGGGTGTCTTTTCTATCAGTTTTGTGCTTTTATTCTTTTTATTTTTTGATGTGCATTATTATTGGATTGTTACTACACTGGGTCCTGGATGAAATGTATTAATTGTTGTTTTTAGTGTTAGGATAAGCAAGAAATTCATTCATAACATTTGGTGTTAGTATAACCACTGTTTCAGTCTATTTTACATCACAAATTCAAATGTGCCAATTTTTTGCTTAATTGAACTGCATGTTGGATCTATACACAACTCTAATTTACAAGCAAAGCAAACCTTCCTGTTGGAACAGGGATGAAATGGCATTTATCCAGCATGTGTGCTTTACATGGTTTCTCTATCAAAACAAGTTTGGCTGCATTTGTTGTACTTGCTGCAACCGGTTGCAAAAAATCGTTAAAACCAAGCAGAATTCAGCAATTTTAAAAAAGAAAATTGTGGTCGAATTCATGTACATACGCATATACCAGCTGATATTTACTTCTTGGTAGTGGCTCTGCTTTGCACCACAGCTTGAGAATGTTACAAAGCAGGCATTGGATGAATGAATCTGGCATGTAACTTCCCAGAAATGTCATATAGCACTGAGAGATTCCTGTGTCATATGCTGTGGAGAACAGTATTATGCTAGAAGTGAAATGAATTACCACCACAGAGACACGAGGCTATGCTAAAAACAGTTGTCCACATTATGGGACAAAAGGAAGGAAAGTTATACTCTTGTTCTGGATTAGTAATCATCACCTCAGCATGTCTCTGGTCTATCCATAGTTTATGTGCTCTTGTGTCTGCAGTGACTGGCTTTTATCCCAAGCTTGAGAAATATAATAGTCATGTATTGTGTAAAGTCTTTGGAAGTGACAGTTGCTATCGTGAATAGAGCGTATTAGTGTGAACTCTTGTTTGTGTAATTATGTAGGTTTGGCTTTCAGTGACTAACTAAGTCTGCTGTGCAGGTGAAAGCACTGTAAAAAAACAAAACAGAGTTCTTTGGGTGGGGTTTTTCCAACTCGTTATCTCACTGTTGTCCAAGTACATGCCGTGTTTTAATCAGTGAGCCCTTTACGATTAGTCTAATGTCAGCATGGGGTCATAGTCAAATTTAACTAAACTTCTCATGTAACTAGGTGAGCACAACGTCATAGCGGTTTTTGAAATTAGTTTTACAAGCCTTGACATGACCTTTCACATAAACAGCTCAAGTGTTGCCAGTATCTGTTGATGCAATAATGCTGATACTAATGATAAAGCCTATCAGTGCATGAAGATCTCAGAATTCTGCAACACAGATTCCTGGTCATTCTCACAGTAATTACACAGCACCTCCCACATGAATCTGCATAATTATCCTTGGGTTTATTCTCCTTTCTCGCCATGTTTTCAAACATTCTTACTACATGAAACAGTGATGAGCCAGTGTAAACATTATGCTGGATGTTGGACTTTGGACTCTTGGTATTTAAAATCTTACTATGCAAGAGCAATTGAAATGTATGTTCATTGATGATGACTTACAGGTAATGTTTGCTTTAGGACTTTATGATAAACAAAAATGAAAAGCAGGCCACAAAGGGAAGTTGTATAAAGGGAATGCTTTATCATGCTGTTGCAAGTTTTCTGCCAGCACAAAGCCAAAGTTCTGGAGGAAGGATATGAAGGAGGGACCGACAATTGTGAAAGAGAACAGGCAGGAAATTAGTACCTAGATAGAAATATGTAGTTAGGATAAAACTAGAGAATTGGATGTGTAATCATGAACTTCTAGCGAAAGACTTAAAAGGAGTGGGAAAGGGAAAGACTGCTTGTAGTCTTGGTTAGACACACCCTAGCATTTTGCAAAGCTAATGATTATTGTCTTTAATCTCTAAATTTCCATTGTGCTTCCCATAGTTTCTCTCTGTTTTTCAGGGTGTCCTAACAGAATTTTAACATTTTGCACTGCCAGTAGTTTTGGGGACAGTAGTTTTGTCAAGTGCCATTTTATATTTTATTCCTGTGGCTTTTATGTTGGCTTCACCACTTGAAAGAGCTAATTGTTGCTGTATTGTACTACATTCTAGTCTAAGCACTGGCAAGAAAATCAAAATGTGGTTTTCCAAGAAACTAACCATGACACAAAACCAGAAATAGACGACAGCACAGATGCAGTAGCCACAAGCTGTCAGTTCACTTTAAACGTCTAGATGATTGATGTTTTTTCGCTTCCATATTTGCATATGCTTCTATCTTTATTTACTGTAGCACGTCTATTAAAATGTGGAACAATTGCCTCAAGAGATACTATATGTGATAACTGAAAGGATATTGGCTGTTCCAACAAACAAAGTTATTGACTATATATCTCTGTCTTCACTTCTAAAAACATTTTTTTCTTTACACAGAGTTGTCTAGATTTTTTTATTATTTTTTTAGATTCATACACTTGCATAAGATAAAAGTGTTAAGTAAACAAATGAAACCTATTGTGATTAAAAAGAAACAAACAAGGAGAAATAAATGAAAGAGATTATCTCAAAACAAACACTAAAATAGCACAAAAACAAAGGCAAATCCAGAATCTAAATGTTATTATGATAGGTATGTCATGGAAGATGATAGAACACAAAATAAAAGTAAAGTGAAAGGAGAGAAATAATTCAATATTGTCATTATATTAACTGCAGTAATGTGCTTTATTAGTTTGCAATAAACTAAGTTATAAGAAAAGTTAACGTCGTAAACACACCCAAAAGAGTAATTAAAATCTGCGGTCCCCAACCTTTTTTGCGCCACAGACCTGTTTATGCCCGACAATATTTTCACGGACCGGCTTTTAAAGTGTCGCGGATAAATACAACAAAATAAAACTAGTACCGGTATCGAACAAATAAGATCTATTCATAAGGCATGTGAAAAGACCCAGGAGAACCAAGTTAACGATAAATGAAAACCGATAAAAACCCTGAAAACCATATTTTTCACACCTGAGCCTCAACTCTCGCGGCCCGATACCAAACGACTCACGGACCAATACCGGTCCGAGGCCCGGGGGTTGGGGACCGCTGATTTAAATCATTTTAAAACACTGTTTAAAAAAAAAAATGCTTATCTTTGCTTGTTTTCACTTCTAGTTGAGCAGCGTAGCCTGGCTTTTCTATGCAAATACAGTCTTGTTTACTTTGTCTTACTTGATCATTTTCAGTGTATATTTGTTGTTGATTTAGTGATGGATTTGTCCAGTGTATATTTTCTGTAACCTTGTACAGCACTTAGGTCAGCAAAGGTTGTTCTATGTGGGCTAGAAAAATAAACTTTAACTTGACTTGACTTCTTACATGCATCTAAAAATAAATTACGTAACATCTAATTATGATTCCGTTCTAGTTTTAGTGAAGTTAAAGTGTTCCGGCAACACAAAGCCAAAATTGTCGGAATCAAGAGAAAATAGCAAAGGTGCCAAACGGCATGCAGAGTTTCACAGGAAGAAAAAGGGTGGGGTGAATAAAATCCTGGGCAGTAAAGAGAGAGTTCAGTGAATGAGTGATCAGCCTGACCTTTGTGAGTCACCAAGAGTGCAATCTCTTTTTGTGTGAGCTGCTGTTGACAGTGGTAAGCGTTCAAGTGTGCTAATGTGTGAGAATGTCTCACTGGGAGGAGTAAGGAATGTGAGCCGGCACCCAGGCCTGACTGAGATGTGACAAGTTCTTGCTACAAAGCATGACAAATAGTATGAATAACACTTATCTGATTCTGCTGTAAATTTAGTATTGGTTACTTCATATAACCCTTGTTTGCTCTGGCCAGGGCAAATTTTTAGTTGGTATTCTAATTAATCAGAATTATGTAGAGCAGGGTGTGCATAACCAATGCTGGTTGAGATTGGTCCAGACAAGGTTTCTTTATGTAT